CCGGTATGTTGGAGCCATTATTTTGAATTGTATTTTTTGTTTGTGACACTAGAGGGCGTATGAGTATTTTGAGTATATTTAAGTAAGGTGATAATGAGTTACAGGTGCGCTGATGGAAGGTCAACAAACTTTTTGACCGTGCCGTGTTGAGAGTTGGATTGAAAGAATGTGCTCATGCCTAACAGTATGTTTTGAATCAGATATTTTGATTTAGTTTTTATTTTCGTTCTTTTTTGTTGTTTGCAATACCAAATGGACAATAAATGGATTTGGTTTATCCGAAACTTATTCTGAAGGTATGGACAATATTTATTTTATTCAAGACAAAGGCACGCGTCAGAAACAGACCAAAGAAACCATCTGCGTCCCTACACTATTACTCTTTATCACCACTCGGTGCCGCCATAGACAAAGGTAAGGCTGTGCCCTAGAAGAATAGAGATTTTATTATTGAAGTTGGGTCAATGATGTGAAGACACATGCTAAGCTCTGAATCAAATGTCAAATGTAAAAAAAAATAGAAACTAAAAATTATATCACTTCCCCAATAAAATAGTGAAAATGTCAGGATTTTGATTTTAAGGTTTCTCATATGGTAATATAGATCAAGATATCTATCAGATGATGTTAGTTTCAACCTAACTTAGCATTTATTTTAGAAATGTCATGACAGTTATCATCTCAGAAAGGAGTTGTTTCTTTATGAAATGAATTTGGATGCAGTTGAGCATCATATCATCACAGACATGAGCTCACTATTTTGTGCAAAAATGAATATCACACTTTTTTTGAAAGTGTTGAAAGCGTCACACTGTCTGGCCGTGAGTTGCCTGCAAAGCGTCTGTGACAGTTGCTTAGACGACACCTTCTGTAATGGCGTTGAAGGGAGGAGCAGGAGTGGCACTAGCCGTGGTACATTTCTGTGTTCCTGTGCATTAGCATCTCGGTGGAGCGGAATCTTTGATGGAGGTGTTGCTGGCTCGCAGGAGATAGCATGAAGATTAGATAGGGCTAATTGAAGTGGTGTTGGAGTAAAGAGATGACATGCAGTACATTGGAGGTGTCTGCTCTGCTGTTATTATTAAAGCAGCCCGATGCGTTTTACTGTTTGAATAGGTTTTGCCTGGTTTATGCCATATGTAAAGGGTGATATGTGTAATTTTTAGTCGTTTAAATACTTCTATCCCAGTTCAATGTATTCAACGAGATTGATTTATTAGGTATTTAATTGTTAATTTTTGTTTCCTTATTTTTTTTTTTTTTTTTTTTTTTTTTTTTTTTGCCATCACTCACTTTATTTAAATTTGATCTTTAAAATCACTTAAAAAAATCGAATCACTTTTAAAATCACTAAATCATTTGATAAACACTGTTAAACATAATTTTTTTTAGAAAATCAAAATGAATATCGTTTTTTCATTGTACATTATGTCTAAATTCATCTGCTGCATTTAATACAATATTGCTGTTTATATTTATATTGTTTATATTGCTTTATTTTGAATTTATTAAGAGAAATGGTATAAATGATATACATTTTTAAACATTATTTGCCATAACATGAAAACCAATTATCTTCTTATTAGTATAGGCTTACGTTTTAATATATAATTTGAATTATTAGACGATATTATGCCATTTAGATATTATTGTATTATCCAAATCCCACATTTGCTTTAGTATTACCTTGTCATGCACATTTATTGTTTTTCAAAAAAAAATTAAACCTTTGATTATACCCATTTTGTTTATGTCTTAGTATTGTTTTTTTTAATGCATAAAATGCATTACATCGGTCATCTGCTCTCTAGATATTGAATTGGATCTTGGAATATTGGATAGGCTTTATTAGGGTCTCTTATTCTCAGATGAAATTCTCAGATGAATAATTACCTTTACAGAAACAAATAATAATTCTGTTGAACATTTTAAAGTCTGAAGACCATTCTAAAAGACTTAAGTTGCTGGTTGCAGTGTATAGGAAGCAGATCAGAAGTTCATATCTATTATTTTTATCATATCAAGAGCCCTGCAGACCAGGAGACAGAGAGGTCACCAATCATTCTTGCCTAATGTGGGATATTGTCCTCTGTCTGCTCTGCTTTCAGATGCTCTCCGCTTTCTAAGTATACAAACGGAGCTGCCGTCTCTCTCAGCTCCAGATGCTGTTGATTCACTCTGATTTGCTGAATTCCATCACACAGAGTGGCTGGAGATTAACAAAACTCATTCTACACTGTATCCATGTGAATGAAACTAAGAGGGGAAAACAAGCAAGAAGCCTCAATTTTGCATATTGCTGTGATAAATAGTAATGTAATAGCTGAGAGGTTGGTGATGGATGCCATCACTAAAGCCGCGTAAAGCGAGGATGAGCAGTCTGGTAATGCACAATGACAGTCGCATTAATGTAAACCTCACAATCCGCTAAATTCCATTATTTCTCTGCCCTATTTGCCAGCCGGGGGTTTTGTTTTGTGGTGGCCCGCGTGCATTACCTCTCTCTCTTGTTTTCTCCCCTTCTGTCTCTCTCTCTCTCTCTCTCTCTCTCACATCGAATGTACCGTGCTGTAGATGCCATATTAATCTCCTACTTGGCAGTTTCAAAGTCTGCACCGAGCACTTTTAATAAAAACATGACTGATCCTGCATTTGAAAAAGCTACTAATTGTGCAAAAGAGCGATCATCCTCTGTGGGCTTATCTGCTTGAGACACATGGATTATGTCCAGTAATGTGATAAAGGACGTTTCTGTAATTTAACGCACATAGAGACGCACATTCAGGGCTTAATTCTTAAAACAAAAAGCTTGAATAAAAGGCTGTAAGGCTGTGGGGCGCCAATCAAAATATTTCCGCCCTTGCGATGTGATATGCCACTCCCAGCTTTGGTTTCACAGATCTGGATTTCCAGCAGCTTATTACAGTATCAGTATGAGAATGACGTGATTAAGGCTAATTTGATTTTTTGTTTGTATTAATATTACAATCTATCAAATGTAGCTGTTTGTTCTAAGTGCTGGATATCGGCCTGGGCCAGTTAGTCACGGTCATGGCAGAGCTTTTTTTGGGGAGCACGTTGACGGAGTACATGGTAGCTTTAGTTTTGTGGTTTAGTTGTTGGCTCATCCTCCATCCTTCATGAGAAGTTTGTTTCTGTCAGTTTTCCTTGATTTGTTCTACTCCGTGAACAAATCTCTCTTTGTTTGCCTCCTATTGTTCTTTGATTTTTCACAACCACATTTTTGCCCCTGAATGGCATTGAATTGATCAGCAGTTTTGAGTTTTCTTACATGGGCAAGGGCAGGAAAAGGCTTACTAACTCCAACAGACCAGATACTCTTCAAAAAAAAAAAAAAAACTACAATCTTGAAACAAGTTTCCTGGAAAACTTTAATTGGTTGCACAGGAGATAGTACCTCCCCAAAATTACACCATTGGTTAAGTCAGTGTTGCTGGATGCTCAAACAATAGCACAGAACCACAATGTTTTCAGGGAAATCAACCTACTAGTGCCTTACTTATAATTGAATCTTCATACTAAAGGAGTAGTTTACCCCAAAATATTATGTTTGTGTCATTTATTCACCCTCATGTTGTTCTAAAATGCACTTTAGTGATCTTTTAACACCTGTGACTGGGTCTCTTGAGTTGAACTCGAGCCAAATCACTGTGAATAAATAATTCACACCACTGTTATGAACTGGATAAATCGATTCTTTGAAAAGATCCACTTCAAAAGAATGATTAGATTGTGAACAGAACGTCAGTGTTTCTCATTGCTACTTCTCCAAGAAGAGCTAGATCAAAGTTTGAATAACACACTTGAATAACAACCAAAAATGTGTTACTTTACGGCTTCAGAAGGCATATAATGAGTCATATTATTTACCATATTTATAAAACTTCATGGAGCTTTTCTTTCTCATTTTGGAGCTTGACAGCCCCAGTTCTCATTCACATTCATTATATGGAAGATGATAGCCTCAAAATGATTAACAAGTTCCACTGAAGGGGAGTGATAGAGGGTTTGGAACAACATGCGGGTGAGTAAATGATTCACCCATGATTTTAATTTTTGGGTGAACTGTTCCTTTTAACTAGGATAGGATATTTAACTATGAAAAAACACACTTTAGCTTTTAAGACATCACAAGTGTCATTTAATGCCAGGCACATACGCGGTGCGTTTTTTTTTTTGCTGTCGTACGAGCTCTCTGGCGGTTTTTCTTTTCTCTTGAGAGATAAATCGTGTGGAAATCTTTGATGTTCGTAATCGTATGGTTGCAGCTCGCATTGTGTGAGCGGAATTACGACCGAAATTATTAGGTTAAGTGTCTTGTAACATGTGCAATGGAGCATGGCCTCCCAAGTGTCCGAACTCGCACAGTGTATGCCTGCCTTAAGAGCACGTTTGTCAATGACTGAAGGCTATTGAGTGTTGCGGCTTTCATCCATTTTCCGTTCATATCCGAAGGCCAGATAACATTACACGGCAGTGTTTTTTTGGTAGTGTCTTGCTTTGGTTTGTCCACAGATGTCTGATGTTTATCTTCTAGTTGTTGGGTGACTCATTATCAAACCACATCACAGCCACTGCAGAGCAAACAGAGCATTGTGTGATTTACAGTCAAGTACTTTCATGTCTTTTAATGTTCAGGGATGCCACAGTATTTAGGGCATTCGTCATGGGTGTTTCTCAGTCGTTTCTCTGTGCCAACGCTTTCTAACAGAATGTGTTAGCTGATGTACAAATAAAAGATAAAATGTTGGAGCCCCGTCAACTCTAGTGTAGTTTTATGGACGCCTTTTTTGTCCCTGGCCTGATAAGCTGTGTGATGTTGCTCTGGTACAAACCCATACACACCTTCAAAGTGTATGCATCACCACATTCACACACCCACTGTCCTCTTTTCTGTGTCTTTGAACTTTGAGTTTATCTTTCTAAATTCACTGTCTGTTGTCTTTTAAGTTTTCTTTCTTTGTTTCTTCTCTGTGCAGCTGAACGGGGAGGCGCAGGAGCTGTTCTCGGTGCGACACGGGCCTGTGCGAACTGCTAGGATCCTGCCTGCTCCACATATTAGTCAGTATCAGACACCCCACTGACTCTGTCTCTCTCCTTCTACAGAGCCACCCATAGCCACATACATGCATTACTTTTATCTTAAAGTATCCCCTTAAAACATTTTGGGTACACTTAAAATGCATGAATAAATGTGCTCTTTAAAATAAATTATTCTTGGGGCCCACTATATAGTTTAGGACTGTGGTTCTGAACTAGTTCTCCACCCAGATTTGAAATCTGATTTGAAGTCTTTGAAATCAAACAAATTAAATGTATAAATGCTTCATAATTCCAGCAATATGTAAAATTGTTAACTTGACATATACTACCAATCAAAAGTTCGTGATCAGTAATTTTTTAGATTTTTTTTTAAAAAGAAATGAATAGTTTTATTCAACAAGGATGCATTACATTGATCAAAAGTGACTAATGATTTTAACATGCAAAATACTTTTTTTTACTTATTATTTTCTATTTAAATGCGTCAAAAATACAGAAAAAAAGTGTATCACGGTTTCTACATAACTATTATGCAACACAACTATTTTTTAACATTGATAATAATAAGAAATGTTTCTTGAGCACCAAATCAGCTTATTAGAATGATTTCTTAAAGGGTTAGTTCACCCAAAAATGAAAATGATGTCATTAATGACTCACCCTCATGTCGTTCCAAGCCCGTAAGACCTCCGTTCATCTTCGGAACACAGTTTAAGATATTTTAGATTTAGTCCGAGAGCTTTCTGTCCCTCCATTGTAAATGTATGTATGGTATACTGTCCTTGTCCAGAAAGGAAATAGAATCATCATCAAAGTAGTCCATGTGACATCAGTGGGTTAGTTAGAATGTTTTGAAGCATCGAAAATACATTTTGGTCCAAAAATAACAAAAACTACGACTTTATTCAGCATTGTATTGTCTTCCGGTTCTGTTGTCAAGCCGCGTTCAGTGACGCTGGTGTAGTAAGACGGCGCTGACGTGTATCTGGTGCGCCCGAGCTTCGTTTACAGTCTGAGGGAGACGCACGCTGTAAACAAAACAATCTTCGCAAACATGTCTAAGGATTTCAACACAGAGGAAGACTTGCATTTTTTTGCCCAGGCTTATTTATTTGAACCCGAATACACGGACCCACCAGATACACGTCAGCAGCGTCTTACTTCATCAGCGTCACTGCGGACTCGTGAACGCGGATTGACAACAGAACCGGAAGACAATACAATGCTGAATAAAGTCGTAGTTTTTGTTATTTTTGGACCAAAATGTATTTTCGATGCTTCAAAACATTCTAACTAACCCACTGATGTCACATGGACTACTTTGATGATGATTCTATTTCCTTTCTGGACAAGGACAGTATACCGTACATACATCTTCAATGTAGGGACAGAAAGCTCTCGGACTAAATCTAAAATATCTTAAACTGTGTTCCGAAGATGAACGGAGGTCTTACGGGCTTGGAACGACATGAGGGTGAGTCATTAATGACATAATTTTCATTTTTTGGTGAACTAACCCATTAAGGATCATGTGACACCGAAGACTGGAGTAATGGCTGATGAAAATTCAGCTTTGCATCACAGGAATAAATTACATTTAAAATATATTCAAATAGAAATGGTTCTTTTAATTTGTAATAATATTTCACAATATTACTGTTTTTATTGTATTTTTGTTCAAATAAATGCAGCTTTGGTGAGCATAAGAGACCTTTTTGAAAAACACTAAAACAATCTTACCGACATTAAACTTTTGAACGGTAGCATCTGTGTCTTTGTTAACTGAATTGCAATACAATTAATTTTATGTAGTGCTTTTTCTTCCTTATAAAAGTTGTTAAGCCGTTTAATTTTGCCATCCTAAGTATGCCACCCCGGAAAAATAAATAAAAATAAAAATAAATTTTTTGTTGCATTTTTAACATCCCCCCCCCCCAACCCATTTTGAGGTCATGAAGCCCCTGACAGAATTCTTTTCATCACGGCATTTAAAACTGCTGCTTTGAAATATTATTACAAATTCTACTTTACAGTGACATCTTAATTTTCAGCTTGTCAGGAACAAGCGTCCACCCCCAAATTGAAATATGCGTTGACAGAATGTGATCTCCCGCTACTCTTAGATTTATTTCACGTCATATGTTACACAAATAGCATGTCATGTTTGCCACTGTTATTTGTCTAGAAATTTGCAGAAAGTAAAATCAGTTTTCGGCAGTTACATGCTTTTTCGAATCAAGTTAAACCGAGATGTGGCAATTTATAAAATTCCATGTCTCTCTTCCTTACTGGCTTTTCCATATATCATGTTTAAATTAAAGACTACCTCCTGTTTCTTAATAGTGCAGAGCGCTTGCCAGAGCCCCGCTGTTTTCCCATCATAATATTAAAATCAGTCCTTCACGATTATGTTGGCTTGCTGTCAGCTGGCTGCCTGGACTTTTACCGCCGCTCTGGCAGAGAGGAACTGCAGACTTCTGAGATTTTCCTTCTCTTTCATCACGGCTCACTCATTGGCCATCGCATGCCTGCTTTCATTCCATTTGTTAAAGGACGAAAATGAATACTCTGACAAAAGAATGCACGCTACATCTTACTAAACTAAAATACATGCAACCTGATTAGGTGTGATTTAAATATAGATGTTTTGTCAAACTGTCCCATTTTAATTTCTTCTTCCTGATTTATGATTTTCCGTAATTTCTGTGACTAAAACAGGGTATTAACGTATATAAAATTCCGAAATCAGTTGAAATTATTTTTGTTTTGTTTATGCCTCGCTAAATAAGTGTCATGGGCATAATCAAATGTAAAAACAAAAGGAATAGGAAATGCAGTCATATTGTAGTGTGACATTTATGTGCCGAATTTGCGTTCTGTCCTTTCTGCAGATTTGAACAATGCACAATAAAGGCATTGAACGCCGGCTGGATTTGGATAAAAGAGAATTGTCATAATAAGAAGCAGCAGACGGCCAACACATGAGGAGAGCGCTTCTCAGCTAAATCAAATGAATTGTACAAGTGGGGAAACTGATTGCGATCTGTTTGGCGCAAACAGTGTCATACTGTAGTGGGATTAAAAAAGAGTAATTGTTTTAGCTGGGTGGGCGGATTTGGAAAGTCCTGAAAATAGGTGTCAATTTTAATAAGGGTAGGTCTTTCCCAGAATAAAGGAGGAAGTTCTGCTTTCTCTAAAGAGGCAAACTGACTTTTTTTCACATCCGTTCTGTTTTTGACTTCTGCTGTTGTTTTTGAAATGATTCATTTCTAGGTGACAGCTACAGACGGTCATATCCACAGCTGACCAAAAAATATGCCATCGCTTCCTCTCCGCTTAAATTTATCCCACTGTTGAATGCACCTTCGTAAATGGCCCTCCTGTCAGTGTGTTATTTACTGAAATGCAGGAAATTTGTTATGTTTTCCAGAAAACAATCTCCTCAATAATACTCAGCATGAGTTGAAAGCAGACATTGGAAAATACAAATGAAAACCACTTGTTTCAAAGACCAGTCGTTTTCGAGGCGCACAGCTACAGGCGGAGAGGAGCACGGCTTGGTTTTCTGCACCTTAATTGTTCTTTTAAATAGAAGGCAGCTGTTGTCTTTTAGAGGCCTGTTGTATTTGCATTATGATTGGATATCGTGACCAGTGGCAATGTCTGATGACAGAGCCGTGAAGATTGAGGAGAGGCCCTTTAAAGTGTTAAGGTTTGAGAATGACACATTCTCTCTCTCACGCCATGCCACAGGGACCATACTTTTCTGGAGCTGATTAGTGTCATGGCATGGCTGCACAAATTACAGCTCCACAAAGGCTAACATCTTCTTCTATCCGGACATGAATGGAAACCAAGAGAATTAGATAAATATGGGATCTGTAAACTTACTGCGACATGTTTTCTCCACCCAAAATATGCCTACCGGCCTTTTGCCATTCTGTAATTCCTCCGAAGCCTTGAAATTAAAGCCAGTGAGACAGAAGACTCCTTCTAAAGCTTTGAAGGCTTTCTCTATTAGAGTCAGAGGAGAAATTGTTTTCGTTCAACACATTGCGCTGAGTGGCGTTTCTGTTCTCTGTCTCCGTTTAATGCCTTGCATGCTGGTATTTTAATTTCATTGATGTTCAAGTCTCTGTGAGGACCAGGGCATTATTTTTTGGTGGTAACAGTGTGTGAATGTCAAAGCTGACAGGAAAGAGGTGCCCGCTTTGTTTTTTTTTTTTTTTTGTGGACATTTTCAAGGCATCATTTTTAATTCCAGATCTCTTGTAATGCAATCAGGACGCTTCCTGTTGCTGTAGTTTTTTGTAAAAGCTTGAGTTCGAAGGGTGGGTGGCTTTGGCAGAGACACAACGGGCCTCATATGCGTGTGGCTAATGAATGTCCCTCTTTATGTGGGTCAGTGGTTAATTTTCCCCTTTCTGTCCCTCCGGCTGCAGGTTCCCTCAACACTGACAGCTTCGCTGAGAAACGGCCCCTCCTTGGCGTGTGCAAGAGCACGGGCTCTTCGGGGTGAGTGCACAACGACGATGTCACTTCCACTGTCAGCTCGGCCTAGTGTTTTGCATGGTGCCAGAGCTTTCAGATTCGCAGGTCACTGCTGATTGTTTTTCAGCTACACACAAGCACAGTTTCAGCACAAGCTGGGATTGATGCCACAATAATAGAAGGATTTGATCAAAAGCACAGGTTTCTTTTTGTACTCTGATAATGGAAATCTTTCAACATTGATAATAATAAGAAATGTTTCTAAAAAGCACATTCGAATGTTTTCTGAAGGATCATGTGACACTGAAAACTAAAGTAATGGCTACTGAAAATTTGCCATCACAGGAATAAATGATATGTAAAAGTTTTATATATAAAATATTTTATATATATATATATATATGAAACATATACATAGTGAATAATTGTTCATTTTCAGCTTGTCAGGAACAAGCGTCCACCTAATTAAATTGTTGTCAGTTGTTTTCATTATTAAATATGATCTTTTTTTTTTTTTTTTTTTTAAGCTCATCAACCATTGTTTTTATTTGTCATTGTGAAGGTTTGAGCTGTGAAAAAATGTGTGTACAGTTAAAATATTATTTTAGACTTTTGTCAGCCTTGTTTTTTATTGTTCATTTGAGAAAGGCCAGTTGAGGTTGAATGCAGGTCAAGGGCATTTAAGATCTTTGGATTTTTCCCCAAGTGACGTTTTATGGATATAGTAGGCTTGCATCCATCTCCTGCTGTGTGCGACACAAGTGGAGACATGTAAAACTCTTCATGAGGTGAAGCCCATGTGCTAATGGAATGTTCCATCGTTGTCCGGTTTATGGCTTTTTCCCGTTTTAAAGCGTGGTAGAGACTAAGCCACATCCCTCAGTGTGTGCAACATTTAGATGTTATGAGCTACAGATCCTAAGTGCATTTGAAAACCTGTAATTTGTTATACATAATAACCTGCATCAAAGGTCTGATGGGGCCAGGGAGTGGTCTGGAGAGAGACGGCCAAACCCTGCTGACGGACTGACCAACCCGGTCAGCTCCAGAGGGCCAGATCTGCAACCTTGGACTCCTGACAGAGACAGACTGCGATCTGTGAGAAATATGCCCCCTTAGGGAGTGAGAGGGAGCAGGGCGCATCAGTTATTGGCTCTTCTCCTCCCCTCAGCTACGCCTGCCACCTCTTAAAACGAACTCCTCCGCTGCTGCAAATCTTAACTCAATATTTCCTCCCGAGGAAATAGAATAAGGAAGTCTGTCTTCAGCACACTTTGATGGAGACCACCGTCCCAGCCGTTCCAAGACTAGAGCTTTGCTCTGCCGGCGCTTATGCAGCCAAACGCGCCGTGTCCGCCCCGACATGGAGACAGGCTCTGGCGGTTTGGCTTTGTACTCCAGCAACGGTTGGTCTAATGCTGAAAACATGCCTCGTGTTGAAAACCATAACCCTCTCCCTCCGGGTGAATGGTGTTGCCGCTGCTATGTTCCAGTAGAAGTGTTTGGTAAATAGCCTAGCTCTGTGTTTTTCTTTTTTTTTTTGAAAGGCTGCACTGTGCTCGGTTCTTTCCCCTTTACTGAAATAGTTCATAAACTTACCAAAGTCCTCACACGATTTTTAGTATATAATCATTTTGAAATAACAGATTTTGTCAACCACCAGTGTGGATGCTGTCTTGCCACTCAAATGGAAAACAGATTGGAGTCTTGGCCGATACAGCACTGCTGGTTTAGAAGTTGGTTCACTCAGCTTTAGGCTTAGATTACAAGATTTGCAAATTAAAGGAAAACCAGAAAGAGGAAAAAGCATGTGTGCTAAATCCTTCGTTGCAGAACTCCAGCCAGACACATTCAATGTAATTTTATCAATGGAGGGGATTATGTCTTAAGTCCAAACAACGTATGGATCTGGTGAATTTCCTGACAGCAAAGTACACATGCCGCCCTTCTATAGTGCTGGTACAGTTTGCAAATTAGCAAAGAATGAATGTGCTATTCAATCCACTGTTGGACCCCACTTGTATCTGGAAAGGATTTGGTTTTCCACAGTACCATTGTTTTATTTTAATTTTAATTAGGGCTACAGGTATTACACTGACCAGGTTGAGCCTGTGTTCTCTCGTACCAAAACGTGTCAATCATATCTATTTAAAACAAGCAAACAAAAATAAATATGTAAATTGATTTCAGTCTGAATTTGGCAAGAGTAATAATAATACATCGAATTACATATTATTTGCTACTTGTTAGTTGGTTGTAGAATATTCTCATTAAAGAAAGTGTATGTGTGTGTGTATGTGTATATATATATTTAACATTTACGAGTATGCCAGATGGAATATAGCCATACAACTTTTAATTCATGGATCTGAAATCTAACAACAATCTAGAAAATGAAAAAAAAGAATTCGAAATGATTGAAAAAGTAAAGGAAGATTTTAAAGGAAAATTAAATAGTTACCAAAAATGACAACCATTTACTTGCAGAACATTTGATATAATCTCAGTATCAGAACCTAAGGAATAAAAATAGGTCTTTAAGCTGGATTTAAAAGCATGCCATTTAACCATTTGTGTCCTCTGCAGTGAGTATGTTTGGAAGGGGTAAAAGTTCACCCTCTCAAGAGGCCTGCTTTTGTTCTCTGGATTGTGGAGAAATTAAGTCGTTGGGCAGGCAGAAAACAGTGCCCTCTCTTCCTTCCCCTCAAATTTCCAGATCTCCATGGAGAGGATGTGGGTGTTTTTTTTTTGCAATCCTCTAATGCAATCCTCTGTCATTGTGGAGATTACAGCTGGACTGCTGTCAGGGACTACAACACGTGGAGGTTCGGAAGAAGGTCCAGTCCTCACAGGCATAGAGCCATGACTTTTGACTCCACACTGTGCCTGGCTCTGGGATGGTGGCAGAGGTCCAGTGAATCTCCCACTGTATGGCTCTGAAGAGCAGAGCATCAACCCACTGTCTGCTCAGTATTATCAAAGAGATCTCTTTTTCCTTTTTCTTTAACCTTGTCCCTAATTGTCCCTACTCAAAGCTGTATCCATGCAAAGTCCTGCTGGCACCCACTGCCTGCTTATTAATTACACAATGGCTTTGAGGAGCGGAAAGCCAGTGTCGTCCACTGACTATTTTTAAAGCGATTTAGCTAAAGCCTACTGTGCTATTAAGCTGTGCTTTTCATTGCGTTTTTATTGAGATGTGAGAAATCCCTCTTAAGTGTATTAAATGATAAATCTCTGTGCGTTTGTATTAGACACAGGATTAAGGGAGGATTGGGAAGTGATGCTTTTAGAGCCCATGAGCCTGTTACTCTCTTGCCATCACACCTGGATCTGTGAGATCTATTGGCTCGGTGGGTGCAACCTTGCAGAGATAAGTGAAGGTAAATAGGAGACATGTCGTCTGGTGGTGATATCATTCAAAAACATTTCAAACACATTTGACTGTCTCCCAAAGTATATTTAAAGGAACGGTTTACCCAAAATTGTAATCGTCGCCGTTTTACCTCTTTAAATTAGATGGTCATTTATTAAGTGGCTAGAATGAATTGTGTAGCTATTTTTATATTTTTAGTTTGTGTGTATTTAGTTGCCTATTTTTTTGGCCCACACACAAGATATGAAGGACTGTTTGTCTCTCTCCTCTGCCATAGCATTTGATGCATGGGTCTGCTATAAAACCATTGTTTACTTTTGGTTTCTTATGTGGACATTAAAAAAGATTAGAAGAAATAAAACCTCTTTATGGTCATGAATCATCAGAGATGTCCAATTCTTTATTTGGAAGCTCAGGGAGTGAAACGCAATGTTAAAAGTTTATCACTCCGCCTCACACACATTCTCTCTCTCCTCTGTCATTTGTCATGTTTTACCATATCTGTGATTTGCTTCATGTTTCAGTGTAATTTGAGGTAGGCGTTATGATCTGTTGATAGGTCTGACAGACACAATCCTCACTCTTACAGTCATGTTAAAGATGAATGCGTTTCCTTCTTGTGATGGATCCTCCACCCTTCAAGTGATTTGGAAAGTTCAGGCCAGGTGCATTGTTGGGTCTCAGATCATCCCTGTGTGCTTTTTCATGCTGACTGGATGGCCACATAATTCAAGCTCTCTGAGGATGGGAATCGCATGGCTTTGAAGTTTTCCCTGTTTTTCAAGGGCATTTGTCTCAGATCGGTTTTCCATGAGCATACTTCTCCTTATCTTTCCGATTAATTGCAGAGGAGGCGCACAGGCGTGTAACATCATCCTTTTCATGATTGTGCAAATTTAGGACTATTGTGCCTATTACATTTCTTAAGTGAAAAAAATCTTTTTTTTTAAAGATGTGAATGGATTTTTATTTTCTAGTGCATTATTTTCAGGATTAGGGTTTTTATAGTTGAATAAGTAGATAATTGTTCTAATTCCAGTTTTAATGCCAACCAATGATTTCCAATTTGACCTTATCCATAAGTACATTTCTCAGACCTGTCCACCTTGCCATCCCTGTCTCCCTTCCCAGCGCCTGTTCATTTTTTTTTTAAAGTAATTAAATGCTGTAAACACCAGTACTAGAGCACCAGTGCCCCTGCAACAGGCTCCTCATTTCAATGTGTTTCCAATATGCATGCAAATCTGTGTAGAGCCCAGTGAAAGGGGAGGAAATGTATTTCTGGCAGTGCTGCAGACATGGAGCTGCGGTTGAACTTTTTACCCTAATTACTTTCCCGCTAATGCCCACGGCGTGCTGGAATCAAAGGGCCCCCTCAGGCCCCAAGAAGCCTGTGATGTGGCCAGCGTTTGTTGTGTGTTGAAGCTCGGCTTGAGAAAGACAGGGGCAGAACGAGAGAGAGAGAGAGGGCGCAAAATTGTGACAGCTTTTTTTTTTCTTCTCAAAAATGTCTCAGTTACCACCCACCTCACTTGTTGCCTACAAAAATAGAGTAATTGTTTTCATCTGTGTTTTTACATTGCCGTACTTGGAAATAGCTGTTATAAATCAATACGATGCTGGCTCGAGGGACTTATCACGGTCCAGA